GTCTGTGGACTGAGAGAAGTGGAGGAGCTCTGGGAGGTAGAAAGACTGCAAAGGGAACAGCTGAGTATCTTTAAGGGTGTTCAGAGCTATGCAGGCTGGACTGTGGACAGAGCAATTTTATCTTGCTTACCCCCTTTGGAGGGGACGGAGAACTTCTGGCTGGCTGGCTGGCACCATTAATCCCCTTTAATGAAGAAACTATCTGCTGAGCTGCTTGGAATTGTGGGTTGCATTGGGTCGCCCAAATAAGAGCTGAAGTCCCTCTTTCAGGAGCAGAACTGGATTCTGTCCTTGAGTCAGGGACATGGAGAATAAGGGAAGGTGAGAGACTGTAAGGCTAAGGTCTCAGAATGGGAAAGAAACCCACCTCCCCCCTTGCTTTAGAAGCCAAGCTTGGGCTGGCTTCAGGGCTCTTCCAGACACTGGACAAGGCAGCAGCCATCCTGAGACATCACTGCCTGGAGAACACTATGACATGCATACTTTTTTTTTTTTCCTGATCTAGCTATTGAACGTACAGTTAGCAGTATCTTTTCCTCACATCTGTACTTCTATAGAGTTGATTTAAAGAGGAGCTACAAGTACAGCTGATGGCAAAATATGCTTCTGAATTAACCCCATCTACTCTTTTTTACTGAATGATTTATATAGTGACGTGATTTAGAGACTTCAACTAGTTCAGGGCTCCCTTTCAGCGAGCACTTAACAATCACAGCCTTGTGATGACTGGCTAATCTAAATGAGCAATATTCAAGTATTAAAAGTAATAAAGGTACTATTTATAAATATGAAGTTTTTTATTGATGTACACAGTGTTATACCTTTGTTCTACTTACTGAAGCCTTATCCAAGGAGTCTGACTGTTCTTGAAGGAATTACATCTTGAGATTGAAGTCTGTTGGAACTGCTAGAATGGGTGGTGTGATGATTATATAAAGGGAATTAAAGTGTGGCAAGACCTTGGGCAATTTGGAGGCTTATGGTGAGAGGGAAGAATTCGTTAAAAGAAGCATACCTTCAGAAGGTTGGCCTTTTGATTTCTGCACATGCTGTCTGTTTGTGTTGTACGAGCAGAACTTCATGGATAAGAAGATGCCATCACATTTCAGTACTTGAATCTCATTTATAGATTTGAATTATATAATAAAAGGAATGTCAGGTTTTTTTAATTAACTGATTATTCCTCTGTTCTCATTTTAGATGCTATATTTCTTTAGAAAAAAATATTTTCTCACAAGTTGCTTTCTAAGCAGCCCCGCTCATCTTCTACATCTTAATTTTCTTGTGCTTTTTTTTCTCTCTTATGTGCACATTTATTGTGCCTAGTAAAGTCCACACATTTTTTAAGAAGCATCGTTGTATTTGCACAATTCCAGTTGATTCTGGTTTTTTTCCCCGTTTGACACAAATTTTATCTTGCATGTTTTTATATTGCTCTTTGTCTGTTCTTTCTTTTTCCTCTCTAGAAATTCCAGTTTTACTAGTATTACATTTAACTTAAAGGATGAAACTAATAATCCCCACTACTCAGCAAATTTTATTAAATCATACGTGTGGATTATGCCAGTGGCCTTCAAGATGTTTTGGATGTATTCATTTTTACCGCTTGAAAAAGGTGCTGTTTCCTTTCCTACCTGATAAGTACCCTTGTATAACTTGCTGTATTTATGTGAATACAAGAGGACCCTGATTATAAGCTTATCCCCTCAATAATTCAATTCTGTATCTGGAAAATGTATAAATTTGTTATAATTTTCCAGATATAGAATCTAAATTATTGGATGTGGGAATCTGAATTGAATTTGTCCTGTTTCCACTGCTACAGCAGGGAAAATAAATCTGGGGGGTCTGGTGGCCCCCTTACCCTCTACTCCCAACCTTCATCCCCTTGCAGCCCCCTACCCACTCTTTGCTGTCACAGGCTGCTCTCCCTGAGCACATGGAAATGATAGGCAAATATGTAAACGCTGATTTTGAAATAAATATGCCTACAGTAAGTTGCAAATAGGCTAATTACTACGGGTACCCATAGACTTATTTCATCCAGGATTGATGCATATCACCTTTTTTGAAACTGCTGCAAGCTTTTGCATAGGTACTCCATAAACATATTTTTATACCTACTTATATATAGTATCAAAGCCATGCAAGATATTAGGCCTAAGCCAAAAGGCTCATGATTTACCATACAGTTCATTGGTCTGGGCCCCAGCAGAGTCAACAGCATTTCAAGCAAAGGTGACCCTATAGCTCAGCACTAGTCAGTATGTGTGTGTTCTCAAGACCCGCCCCCCCGACACACACACACACACACACACACACACACTTTATGTGCCCCCCACAGGTGTTCTTGTCATGAGTCCTGGGATCCTGCAAAAATGTATATGCAGGTGAGGCACAAGGCAACCTGATCCAGGTCCACCTCATGCAGGTTTAAGCCACACTAAGCGTATGTGACAGGCTGAAGGAAGCGGTGACAGATGAGTATTGGGTGAAATGTTTGGGGCCTGGTTTGAAGATGTCTGCCAGACACTGAAGGCTGTTGAAGAAACAGGAGTTACTGGAAATGGCAAAGAAAGGTATGGCACAGGTGTGGAAGTGAACAGGAAGTAGAAATGTATGCAATGTAGTGGCTCACCATGACTTTAAAATGTGTCAAGTGTTATGGGGGAGTGCAGTGGGTATTGCCATGTCTTACTGAGATGGGTTGTACTAACCTATTGTCGTGGTAAGTTCCCTTCAATATGTTTGCCCTATATGGGCCATGTACTTTATTGTCATGCTCAGTATTGATTGCATTTAGTCAATGTCATAGATGGCTTCCATTATTGAGCACATACTGCTGTTGGCAACAGTTTAATGATAGACAATGTATTTAATGAGGTTTCCTTGTATGCAAATATAAGAGGAGCATTTTCTTCCATTCTGACTGGGGTGAAAACCTCATCTTATACTTGAGTAAATACAGTATTAATTGTGTATGGCATAAACCCACTTTGTCCATTCTATCGCAGTAAATTTCATTATGGAGCCATCAACAATATTTCTTTTTAAAGTTAGCTTTGTTTTTTACTTAGGGTGTTACCGCAAGGTTATCGATGTGATTTACAATGATATAACCAAGATTTCCAATGTTTCGGTAAGGGATTATACTTAAGTCTTTTGCAGTCCTATTACCTGATTCTTAATCTCTTAAAATTTGCAATCGTATTGCATTTTACAAATACGTTATTTTAAATCATACACAGGCTAATTTCTCTGGTCCCTTTTTTTCAAATACAAGATAAGAGAGTCTCTAAAAGCCCTTTTTAAATTAAGGATTTGTTAAACATCTGTGTATTACTCATCTACTTACTTCCATCACAGAAAGCAAGAAAAGGCACAAGCAAAGACTTCTTTAATCAAATCAAATTTATTCCCATGGCACTTACACCCAGTGCAGAATAGGCTCCTGATGCTGAGTAAATAAGCTTTGAGCACAGTGAAATAGTTTTTACAACAGGGCAACTCACACAGAGATAACAGAAAACATCTACCGCAGCAATCAACCTTTTGGCCACATGAGTGAAGTGAGTGGCATGAGGCCAGTCTCCAGGCTGGACTGGACTCTGCACGATAGGATGGGGACCTTGGGCCTTTTGTGGCCTCTGTCTGGCCCCATGTGCCAGGACTGGGGTCTAGGGCTCTGTGCCAGTCCTGAGTGCCAAGATCAGGGCCCAGCGCTTCTTCCACCTGGCCCCATGGGCTGGGTTCTATCCAGGCCTGCACATGAAGATCAGGGCTTCAGGGCCCTGCAGTACTTGAGATTTGTATCAAGAAATCTGTTGTCCCTTTTGCCTATAGCCTCCCTGCCTAAGGGAAGCCAATGAGAGGCTTGGTGGGCTGGGCCCACATTTTAAAAGTAGACAAATATGCCCGTGCCACTTCAGCCCAGCCCCACATGCAGGAATCAGGGCCCTGCAGGGGAAATACATGACACACAGTGGTGGCATGGGAAGTACCCTGACCAAGGTAATGCAATTAAAATGGCAGTGTGTAGTGGAGGGTGCACCCTTCTCTGCTTGTGGACAGGACTCCCTACAAGAGCCTCATAGTTAGCCTCCCACTGGCCTGCTTCCAGTAGAAGGGTCTCAGCTACATGCCGACTTTATGGAAATGGGAAACCCCTCCCTAGCTTGCTCCTGCAGCCCTTGGTTGAGGACAAGTGAAACTTGGGGGCATCCAAACCCCAAGCCTCCGGGCCTAGGCCTGCACATAGGATGCCTGCCAAAGGACTTGGAAGTATCTGAATGCCCAGGCTGGGGCTGAGGATACTTGCCGGTAGCAGGGCCACATATGGTTCCTGAATGATTCAAATGTATTTGGACCTGATTTGGCCGATTTGACTGATTTGACCCAGGACCTGAAAATTTTTCCTTTAAAAAAAACCCAAAACAAAACCCTGCACGTCCTCTGTGCACCAGGATTGAGCTCTGCATGGCCCTGCACCAGCTTGGTACCCGGGGTG